ATCTGCCATATAGCTCCGTTCTGCTCTCACTTGCTCAAATTATGGTGGGTTTTTGTTTTGTTTTTCCTGCCTGTATTTTCTCCAAGCCCTCTAATTCTGTTTTGAAGCCCCAATAGCTCCTCTCTGTGCTGCCTTCTCCCTCCTGGTGCCTCAGACCTCCCCTCCCCTAACCTTCGTAAGGCATCCTGACAGAGAAACAGGGTGAGGTGGAGAAGACTCTAGGAAGTTTATCCTCTCAGTAAAGGACCAAGGTTTCTGAGATAAATGTATCCTGGCCCAGCCCTCACCTGTGCATCATCACCAACAGCAGCACCTTTCCTTTTTTCTGGCTTACTGCAAAGAGAGGTCATCTATTCCTGGACTAAAATGGTGCCTTGGGCCAGCTAGAGAGCTGGATTAGGGAACAGAGCACAAGGCAGTTTTCCTGGGGAGAAAAGTACAACCCATCTTTCCCACTGGGTCTGGGCTCATGTAGATAGTGCTGTCCCCTGTTCCTGACTTCTTGATAAGCATCCTTCCTCTGTGGAATAGCTCCAAGGCATGTTCTCTCTTTGGGCACAGAGGAGGTTCTAGAATAGAGGTGGTGATTGAGGAGGGCTGGTCAGTTGGTCTGTATCCTTATGTTTATCATCAAAAAACTACCAGCAGTACAGCACTCAGTTACCATTCTGAGTGTGATTTTATTTATATAATTTTAATTCTCATAACCTATGTAGTGGTGAGGTGTAGATACTCATGTCCATTTTACATATGAGTAAGCTGAGTATTTGTCCCAAGTCACACAGATAGGAAGCAGTGGAGCTGAGATTCAACTCAGGAATACCGGATCCAAAGTCTATACTTGTAAGCACCGTGCTGAGTTGCTTTGCAAGCATGTATGTTTCACTGATCTGGTTCCTGAAGCATTTATCCCTGCTCCAAGAAGCAGTTTACTTCATTTTAATTTAAAGCAAAGATGAAAACAACCTTAATCTACAGCCCAAACCATTCTCATCCCTTCAGGGGTAATGGGTGCTTTCTGAATGCTGGAGACCAGGAGAGGTGCTTTGGGGCCAAAAGCTGCCTTGCAGTTCAGCTGAGGCAGGATTTAGAAATGGCGTGAACAGTGCCTGCATTAGCCGAGGGCATGGAGTGCTGAGTGCCAGCAGAAGAGATAAAATCAGACATATGTTTGGACATAAATGTTCTATCTCTCTCTTTTTCTTTTTCTCTAATTTTAATCCCCTGCTGCTTTGTTGCAGTAAAATGTCAGCGCCTTAATTGTGGGCTCTGGCCCCCTGAGGTAGTATAATGTGGGCTGTATAAGGTCCCCTTGGCCCTCTCCTAGCGCTGTGCATCTCCACAGAAGGAAGCCAGAGCTCTCCACCATTAACGGCATGGACTCTGGACCTCTTCCCCACCAACAACAGGAATTGTTTTGCCAGGGACTCTCTACTACATTGTTCTACCCAGCACCCAGCAAGTTGCTGGCCTCGATACATGTTAAACAGTCATGATAAAACTAATGTCTCTAGGCCTTAGAAACTATCCTATCTACTCTCCCTTCTTTGATAATCAGATGCAGCATAACACCAAAGAGTGATGAAAGGCCTAGAGTAGATTATGGGAGTGGCAGCCACAGACAGCATGGCACTTAAAGAGCTGGGGCTGGGGTAGGTATAGTGGTGGAGGGGGTTAAGGAGCCCCCCAGTAGTCTCATCATTGAGCCAGACAAGCAGAAACTATTCCACTATAGAGCACTTACTCTGATAGGTGCTTTAAGACCTCTGCCACTCTACTCCGCAAAGCTTCCAAGGCTGAGGTTGGGAGAAGGCCAAGTTACCCCTCTTCCCTTTGTGAACACCCTGCCTTATCTACGTCACCCTGTCTCTGGCAGCCATCTGCCATTGCCTCAGGATCAGAAGTTGTGTTACGTGCAGTCCCAAGAATCAAACTCCTTGGCACACGTGGCCCTTTGGCTGTGGGGTCCCTGTGGTCAGAATTCTGGTCAGACGTTGGAGGGCAGTAGAGCCAGTCCTGAAGGAGATTGAGCACCTCTAAGGAGAACACAGCAATATCTACAGGAAGGTCCCATTTTCATTGCATATTGGCCAGGAAAGAAATAGGTTCTTGAAGGCCCAGAAGAGCTTGAGTAAGGAAGGCACATTTGACTTGGGAGTCCAGAGATCTGGGTTTCAGTCCCACCTCTTCCACTCACCAGCAGTGTGACCTTGGAGGTATCTTTCCATTTCTCTGGGGCTGTTTCCTTGACCAGAAAATGTAAAGGGATTAGACTAAATGATCTTTCATGGCCCTTAAAAAATTTTCTAACTCCCTATAATCAGCAGCAGTCTTTCCCTCTTAATGTGTTGCTACAACTACTCCCCTGAAGAGCTACCAACCCATGTCCCATTCTTAAGTAACAAACCCTATAGCTTGGCCGCCAGGCCTGAGGATGAGTCACCAACACAGCATGAAAGGCCGCACTATCCGTGCTCATGGAGCTCCTGTCCGAAAAGCTGTCCCAGGTGCCTGCTACAAAGGAGGAGATACCCAGCATTACGGCAGTGGAGGTTTGCTGCTCTAAAAGCTGCAACACTGCCCAGGTTGAGGAGTGGACCCCGTGGGGAAAGGAAGTACCCTCGCAGCTCTCAGGACACTTCCACCCAGGAACCATATTCTCAGTCTCCCCCACCTCCTTTCAGCTTCCTTCTGGAGAGCGCTTCTCCCTCAGCCCCCAGGCCGTGGGTGTTTGTTCTTAGGCCTCTTCCCCAGGGATCTATCCCTTCCCTCAGCTCTCCGGTTCAGCCACAGACACTTCATTCCAGAGCCAGTGTATAATCCCTCACTATCCAAGTAGCTGTCACAAAAGGAGGGGCATGAGGCAATTGGAAACACATCCTCTGTTTCTGAAGCAGTTACTTTCTCCACAGTTGCCCCTGAGTGTGTCCCCAGGAAGCTGCTCTAAACAGCATGAGTTGTCTTGTGGCACTGGGCAAGGGAGCATTTCTTGCTTTTTCAGCTGGTCCTGGCCAAGTCCCACCCTTTACTCTGCTGCAGTTTTCTCGTTGTATTGGCCGTAGGGTGGTAAAGGAGAGGCAGAGGGAAACATGTATGCGGAGCCCGGAAATGTGAGTGGCAGTTTCTAAGTGTGCACCATGCATGCATGCTGCCACAAACACTGACACCCAGAAATGACACATATATACACCCAGGGGATTAAGAATTGGCCCCTTCTTATTAGCCAACTGCTGCATAGTGCTGCCTCTCTCCCCGTTCAGTGCCAGAGAGATCACACCCACTCAGTCCCGATTCCCTGCATTAGTATAAAGCACTGAAGAGACGCAGGGTCCGGGTTCATGCAGCTTCCCTGGACGTCATCACTCGGGAAGCATCAGGAGACAGATACCCACGACCACCAAGACATGTTTGGCTATTTGGCACCCAGAGAACAGAAGGAACACTGCCTGTGGGAAATTTAAACCAAACAACATTACTGCAGACCTCTTAAACCCAGGTCCCCCAGGGTCCCTGGGGAGAGTCGGTGCTGCCTGACCAGCAGCTTCTGCTGAGGTGGCATTTAACTTCTGGCCTGGTCCCAGGAGCTGAGGCTGACCCATTTCCCCTGCTTTTCCAGGGCATCGGGAATTTGGTTCTACCCCCAACAAAGCCAGGGACTAACACACTTAGCTTGTGGAAGGTGCACTAGAATCGGGGTGCTTTTATTTAAGCTAAGGAAAGATTGTTGACAGCTTTAGCATTTTTAACATTGTCTTCCCCTCCCACCTTACCTCTCCCCTCCCCTTCCCTTTTTGTCTTTAAATAGAAATGACTTGGTTGATGCTGGTAAGAACCTATAGGATCTTATTCAATTTAACCCTTTGGGGACATTGAATTAAAAATTGAACAATATTTATTAAAATACAAAAATACACTTTTCTCACATTACAATCAGTGTTCTTTTGTTGGCATTCCCCCCCACCCACCCGTCCCACCCCTTTCAAATCTGAACCCTTTATTTCTTTTTAAAGCTAAAATAATAAATGAAAGAAGTTACAGCATTAAGTGGACCAGAATAACAGAGATCTCTGCCTTCGCCACCCACGCCCACCCCTTCTCCTCCACATCCTCCTGAGGTAGGCCTGGGAGAGGGAAGCCTTCCCCCCATTGTGTTACATTCAACAGGACTCCCTGCAGAACTCACTTCTTGTGTGCATGTGTATCACTTTTGTTTTAACTGTGGATTTCACGTCTTTTTTGTGAACCATCCTGTTCAGTCAAGGCTTCATTATACTTTAAATGAGCCTGTGCCCTTTTTCTCTCTCCACTCATGTTCTGCCCCCACCCCATCACCACAACCAGTTGACATCAGCTATAATAATCCCTAATGAATCAGCATTTAGAGTAGTCACCAAATCACAAGCATGAGAAAAGCTTCCACTCCCCCAAGCTCCCCAATCCCAGCCTCTCCTCCTTCTCCACCTAAAAACAAACAAAACCTTTATAAAAAATCATAAAATGCCATCATTGTCTACAATCATTTGTCAGATACCAGGAACAACAGGTGGACATGGCACAATGCTAATTTATGGCCTCCTGTGAATACATTCTCTCTGCTTCTGCTCTCCCTCCCCACCCCCCTCTGTTGCCGCACCCCCTTCAGGGGCCTCCTCCCTCTCAAGGGAAACCCTGAATAGACACATGTCCTGCAAAGAGCAGGTTAAACCCATCTGCAGGAATCTGGTGCATTGTGAAAGCATTTGACTGAGAGCTACGCCAGCTCCCTTCCTTCTCTGCTCCTTCCTGAGGCGCGCTGTCAGGCGGGGCACACGAGTGTCCCAGTGCACCAACCAAGGAGACTTGTGCACATGGACAGACGGAAAGACTGAGCCCCTTTAGGGAGTCATTTGAATTTTGGTGGTTTTCCTGTTTAAAGAACAGTTACAGATCTATCTTCCCCTTGGCCTCAAGAAAAAAATTATTGCCTCTCAGCATTTTGGCACAGTACAAATCCTTGGTGCTTTTTTTTTTTTTTTGTATTTTTAAAAATAAGATAAATTTGCAAAGACAGCTCTCAGCTTAAGAAAGGTGTCTATAGAAATGGGTAATCCTGTATGCTATGAAGCATCTATTAAAAAATGACAGTCGACCCCCCACCCCACCCCCCAGCAGCCCGCACCCTACCTCTTTAGGGATGTTTGTCACTGTTTTAGTTTATCTTAGCAGTTTCAACCTTAGATCAGAAATCTCTTCTGGCATCATAACAAGTTGACTTGTGGCTTCTGCCCCACAGCCTTCCCAAGAACCCCACTCCCCCTTTAAATAGAACTTACAAGTTAGAAAATAGTTTTGTTTTGATTTTTTGTTTTTAAATTTTAATATAATCTGTTTCTTTTACCAGCCCATAGATTTAATATATAAGCATATACAAGAAAAAGTCTCTCCCCACTCTGTACAAAAGTTGCTGTCGTGTGTGTGTGTGTGTGTGTGTGTGTGTGTGTGTGTGTGCATTCTATTGCATTTTATAAGTTTTTGGGGGGAGGGGGAGTCATATTTGAGTTTCCTGTACCTTGTCCTTGGTATGGGTCTGAATTATATAAGGTTCAGAAATTGTGGTGACTGTGGGGTGCAGAGAGTTCCCCAGGCTGTTTTCTGTCCAGTGGGCCCCATGTGCTGGTTTGTAGGTGTTGTAGTTAATATGGTCATGAATTGTGGGCAGCACTACTGCCCCCTCACCTGATACACCGGATGGAGCTGCTGTCGCTGCCGCAGACGCCGCCGCTGGGATGTCTTCATCCACCTGGATAATCTCAACTGTCCGGGCAGCTGTGACTGTACTCCTCTGCTGGTGCCGCTTACGAAGTTTATAGAACACGATCAACATGGCGGCAGCTAGCAGAGTCACTGCCACGAAGCAGCCAATGATGATCTTGGTGGTCTTCATGACTTCATCCAGGCTGGTCTGCATCTTATCATTGGTGTCTGTCACGGGTACCTGCTTGGGCACGCGGGTGGTCTGAATGAGCACCGTGGTAGAGGTGGTATATGCCGGCTGATAACCCGTGGACGTAGTAGGAACAGGCTTGTACTTGCGCGTTGTATCCTCAGGTGAGATCTCGGTGGTCTCCACTGTGACAGTGGTGAAGAAGCTGTAGTTAGAGGTGTTGAGCTCGGCCGTGCTCACGTTGAGGTAGGCCGAGGCGTTGGAGTTACCTGCCACGTTGGTCACCATGCATGTGTATACCCCGGTGTCTGAGAGCAGCACATGGGAAAAGTTCAAGGTGCCATCGTTGAGGACAGAGATCCTTGGGTGGCGGGAGGCGTGGCTGAGCACTGTCCCATTGGGCAGCAGCCACTTCACAGAGGACATAGGGGGGGTCCGACACTTAAGTTCTGCCATCCGGCCCTCAGAGATATTGAGGTCCCGAGGTGCATCCATGATGAAGGGGGCAGAGCACTGGAAGGAGGCCTGGTCCACCTCCACCAGGTAGCGGCCACGCATGTGCAAGGGAGCATGACAGCGGCCACAGCAGGTAGAATTGGTGGGTATGTACTCCCGAAGCCACCAGGCTAGCCACAGAATGTCACAATCGCAGTTCCAAGGATTGTGGTGTAGGTGCAACTCCACCAGGTACCTCAGTGGGGTGAAGAGGTCATGGGGCAAAGAAGAGAGGTTATTGTGGGCCAAGTTGAGTTCCACAAGCGAGGCCAGCCCATCAAAAGCATTTCGCTCAATCAGGCTGACCTGTGAGTTCATGACCCATAGCTTCTTAAGGGAGCTTAGGCCATGGAAGGAGCCAGGCCTGATCTCAGGGAAGTGGTTCCCTGACATCTCCAGCTCCTCCAGCCCCACCAGGGGGGTGAGATTGGGCATATCTTTAATGTTGCACATGCCCAAGTTCAGGTACTTGAGGTTGAACAGTCCCTCAAAAGCGCCCTCAGAGATATACTCCAGCTTCTTGAGCTCCCCCAAGTCCAGGCGCATGAGGGAGGGCACCCGGTTGAAGGCATAAGAGGGGATGCTTTCTATGGGGTTGTTGCGAAGCCAGAGCTCCCGCAGCTTGGACAGGTACTCAAAGGCCCCGCTGGGGATGACTGTCAGCCAGTTGTCGAACAGCTCCAGGGTGTTGAGGCTGGCCAGGCCGTTGAAGGCCCCCACCTCGATCTGCCGGATGGAGTTCCTGCCCAGCTGCAGGACCTCCAGGTGGTGGAGGTGGCGGAAGGTGTCGGCCTGGATCATCTGGATATTGTTTTCCATGAGGTTGAGGTACCGGGTGTTGGAGGGGATACCCTGAGGGACCTCGGAGAGGCCCCGGCGGGTGCACACCACCTTGCTGAACTGGTTACTGCATGAGCAAACGGACGGGCAGTTCTGGGGCCCCGCGGAGGCGGCAGCGGCGATGGCTGCACACAGAATCCACACTTGCGCCGTGAGGTAGACGACGGGGAGCAGGACGGCATTCCAGGTGTGGTGCACAGTTACCTGCCACAAGAGCTTCATGGTGTGGCACGTTCATAATTCACCATCGCCTGGGATTTTGGCTCGGAAAGGAGAACCAGCCCTACCCCGGCTTAAATGAGCTAGGAGCGCCTCTTTCCATCTGGAGAAGGAGGTGGGGAGGGGGCGATTAGAGAGACGGAGCAGAGCGGCGCGGGGGGGGGGGGGGATGCCCAACTAGAGCGTGGCCGCTGTCCCCAGCCCCCCGCAAGGCAAGCCCTCCGAAAGCCGAGACTTTGTCTCCCCCGTGGCAACCATCCCCACCCAGTGAGTCGCTGTCACCTACCTCGGAAGGAAGGAATTGGCGTGGTGTCCTTAAGCGTTCTCCACAGGAGTCGGCCACGTCGTTGCCATTCTTACTTCTTAGTTTTAATTAACAAAAGGGGGAAGTCCAGGGGGTGGGGAGGGCAGAGGGGAGGGGTGGGGAGGGAGGGGTGGGGGAGACAAAATGGCTTCTAGTAAATCCGGAGCAGGCTACGGCGAAGCGGCGGAGTTGAGGCGCGCCGGGGAGAGCCAAGGCCCGGCGGGCTATGCAGGTGCATGCCCCCCCCTCAGCCGGAGGAGCGGCGCCACCAGCGCTTCCCTGCTTTGTCCTTGGACCCTGGCACCGGCTCGCACCAGCCACGGGGGAAGCCGCTTCATCGCCGGAGCGTGCCTCCGGCGCCCCCAGCCCGCTCCCGCGGCTGCCACCCGGCGGGGGTGAGGGGGCGCCCCGAAGCCTCCCAGGCCGCGCTCGCTGCTGCTGCTGCGCTGCGCTGCTCCCTCTCCTTGTGTCGGCGGCTCCCGGCTGGAGGCAGCTGATGCAGTCGTTCACTCGCGGGGCTGCGAGAGTTAAGAGGAGGTGTTCGAGGCTCCTTCGCCCTCCCCAGACACACACCCCCTTCTTTCCTCGCCTCTTCTCTGAAGGGTTAAAAAGACCAGAACTGGGCTTAGTTTCCCAGTCCGCCGTCTGCCGGCGCGAGGAGCAGCAGTTCGTCTAGCCCCCTGAGGGTCAGCGGCGTGGAGACAGCGCCGGGACCAGGTCCGCCGGCCGGAGAAGCGCGCGGCGGCCGGGTGGCGCCAGCACCGCAGGCCCCTTCAGGGAGTCCGGGGGCGGGCGCGGGTCCGGCGGCGGCGGCGGCGGCGGCGGCGGCGACCGCGACCGCAGCCCCCGCTG